GCCAGTAATAATCATTATAATGAATCAAACTGTTCTTTTTTCCACCCAGTTCATTTGTTTCATCTAATTAAATTATCTCTGAGAAACCGTTGGAAACATTATTGAAGATTTAGCTCTACACTGTTTATTGTTTGTAAGAATCTTTTCTTTTAATAATGTTGTGGCTCAGTGACTTATATTTTGTTTAGAACACTTTTTTGCCTCTTAATGGAAACTAAAACCCTGTACAATACAATCATACAACTGCTTTGAATAAACTTTATGAAATGTATGGTAAATTATTTCCCAAAGACATACAACTAGCTAAAAATGATAACATAATTACTTTACACAACAAAGTAGGTGCATAATGTAACATTTCAATTCTTGGTCACGTCCGTCCGTTCAAAATGTTATACGATACTAGGGAATATGTACACAATAACATCGTTTCAGCTGAAAGTCAACAAAAAATTGAATACCCAAACTGAGGGTATGAAAAATATACATTCTTATATCAAGCTGGATTTTTACAATAGTTTCTTCCAATTAAAGGACCTCTTCCATGAAATTTCTTCTCTCTTCAAAGTAGCCAATGTGGAAACTAATATTTTTTTAAACATTTTTTTCTCGCCTCCTTCTTTTGTTGTTGGGTCGCTCCTTTGCTCCGACAGGTTTTTCTCCGGGCAGTCCAGTTTTCCTCTCTCCTCAAAAACCAGCATCTCCAAATTCCAATTCGACAAGGAATTAGGTGGACGAAGAACCTTTTTGTGGATGTGCTACCTCCAAATTATTAATTTATATTTATTTATTTGGTCAAAAGGCTGCAAATTTTCAGAGCCAGGTTTTAGGCAAATCCAATTAGATCTTTATGTTATCAGTGAAAACGAAAAGTGCGACCACTACTCTTTTCCCTTGTCCCTCTTCTCTTCTCTTCTCCTCACCCTTTCTATGTTTACCTCCATTGATTTGGTTTTTAGATTTCGTATGAGAATAATTAAAAATGAACACAATGAAATCAACGACGCAAGTTATCCTGGAGAGCGTCAGCTGCAGTAATGGAATAATGGACTAAGCGGACGTGAGATGGGATTTCAGTCAGTGATAGCCTTTTGTAATTTGTTCTTGAAAAACGCCTTTTCCTTATCATGTCGGTTACAGGTTGACAGCTGTATGGTACCACAAAAGAATTGCTTTCCTCTTTTTCAAAAGAGTTCCTCTGCCACCTCAAACTCATGGGGTACAAAATAACGCCAAATTTAAATTTGTTACCCATACCTTTTTTGTGCCCCATTAAAATCCAGCTAAGGCGATTTGTGTGTGTTTCATCAACGCGCTGATTATTCTAAGCAAGGAGTCTAGCTGTAATATTAGTGAGTTTACGCAAAAGGACGGCATGATGAAGAGGACGGCAAAACGCTTGTGTGTGACAAACGTGACAGGGCTATTACTTATGTGTGACGCTCGTCACACAAGGTTTTCCATCTTCTTTCCTCTCCCGCCCTATTGCGTAAATTCACTATTATGGCTTCTACTTTCCTTATGATCTAACTTAAAGGTAAAGTTTTTTCTCCTTCATTCTTACCTTTTCCCTGAGGGGTATGTTTGTGGTAAAAAGCGGCCGAACAAGGGTTTTGATCAGAGACTTTTAATTAACAACTCGCCTTGCAATATGTTCGAATATGGGCTTTGTTGGGTGAAGCAATGCTCGCCAATGTATAGTAGGACATTCCACACACTGCATTTTTGAAATCTTTCATAAAACACAGTTGATAAAACTCGAGTAAGGAAACTGATTTCACCAGTGAAAGATACATTTCATTGTATCCCGTGTTGTAGCCAAGCGTACTATAATGTAAATCAATTTTTTAAACTTGCCGGCAAACACGTCATTTTCTGCACCTGCGCAGTACAGTATACATCGGAAATGTGTAAAAAAATCTGGAGTTTTAATAAGGTTCAAATTACTTAGTTCCTCGGGGTGTATTAATTTTACACGCGCAAACTGAAAAGAATTTTCCAGAACAAATGTGGGCATATACCCTTGTCCTTCGAACGTCCCTTGAGCTGAAGGTAATTGAAATTGATGGTTTTATTTATTTATTTTTGGCACTGGAGATAGAGAACTATACCCATAACTTTAAACAATTGTCCCTCTGAAATAATACAAAAAAAGGTATAGCGATTATTAGAAACATGTAATTATAAAGCGGTATCCAAGATGCGATGCAAAAACAATCGACCTAGAGATTTCAGAGATGTTTTGGTTTTGTTTGATGATTATGAGTTTGTTCCATCCTTTACCATTTCTTGTACCATAAAGTAAGAGACAACTATATACAAAGCTAGTGAAATTTTTTAGCAGGTATTAACATCCCTTCTCCTCGTGGTATAGGTCCTACAGAACGGCCAGTCAAAGAGAACTCAGGTTAGAGGAAACGCCCCATAACAACTATGAAATAGTTGTGGCTGATTCTTAGTAAAGCAGTCTTGATGAATGCTTAAATAACAAGAAAACTCCCAGTTAATGTTAAAAAGTTAACTAGTGAAAGAACAGCAAGAAATGTGGCAGGTAATTCAGGTGAGACGAGGACGAGTCGTTCATCCACTCTATACTTCAGCAAAGAGTTTCCTTTGAACATCCTGTATAGATCAGTTTATATTACATTTAAACTGACACCACCAAGACAGCACGTTTTTTGTGCGTACTATATCGATTTTTAGTCAGTCAAATTAAGGTTAAGTAACAGGAAGAAGGTGAACAGAAAAATTTACTACAATTCATAATTTTTACTTTAGCAGATAATTTAACATTGTGGCCAAGGAGAAAACATTATAGAACACTCTTTGTTATATGAAAGGGAGGAATTCAGTTGTAACCGCGTAATAATTTCACTGGGGCTATGTTAATTAAAGCACTTCAACTTCTACTACAGATAATTATCAGGTTTAATGCCTTTGCCGGACACACCTGTCAAATGAAATTTGATTACCTGTATCGGTAAAAATGCCCCTTTTTAAGAACTTCCTTGTGAAACTGAACCCCCTGGCACCATATACATAAAGTCAGTCAACCTGGACTGTTCATTAAATAACGTAAACTTTTATATTAAAAAGCAAATATGGCCATTAAAGGAAGAGCCAGTAAACGCGTAAGAGATTCTTAGCCATAGCTCAGAGTTGATTGCAAAACGAAAAGGGCTAGCCTATCTATGAAGCAGCTTTTTGTCGTGATGGTTATGGTAAACGTCAGAATATATAAACATGTTTTTTGAATCCGGTTGTGATTAAACAACATATCTTTGTCCAACTTTTCAACTAAATTTCAATGCAAATGTAATATATTGGACTTTAAAGGAACACGGAAATGAAAAAGGTAATCCATTCATAATTTAATTATTTATGAATTTCGACAAGTGCAAATGCGACAGGTTTAATATATCAGTCAGGGTGTGTTTGAGCAAAGATCATAATAATATATTGATATCTTGCAAGCATCAGGATGAGGGGAGATAGGCAAGGACGAAAATGAGCTGTAGAATGATATAACCATAGGTAGACCAGTCACTAAATATTAATAAATGAATAGGAGTTAAAATACACCAAATAGCCCCCAATAAAATTTCTTTGACCAAAATTTCAAGGTATATTTATTTTTCCTCGTCACGTTTCTGGTGAATTATCCTTTGTTCTGTCATAAATTCGACGCTGTCATGAGCCGCTTTATTCAAAGGAAGTGTTAACAGAGTAAATGGAGCTAAAAAATTAGAATATCGCAAAAAAAGCTCGCATACATTTAACATGATATCTACTTGCTGTTTCTGGTCAGTTTAAAAGGCATTTTGTCGAGTTTTGTACCCGGAAGTAGCATCCCCTACTATTACAACAACAACAACAACAATCAACATTTTATTTGCAAGTTGATAAAATTTACAAGAACAGAAAAATTAAAGAAGATCAAGGAAAACAACTAGAAGAGCAAAAGCCAAACGAGCTGAGTAGTTACAATAATCAAATTGCATTCTATAGGGATGTGAGACACGAAAGATGAAGAGGGAGAAAAGAAGAGGGAAAATAAATTAAATTCAGAAGAATAATAAAAAATAAGTTAATAAATAAAAAGAAAGGGGGAAGAACAAAACAAAAGAAAACGGTATGAGATACCTTTAGGTTAGGCTGGCATCATATATACAGAAAAAATTGAAAAGGAAGATGAAAACTAGAGCTAAACCTTCAAACATTGACGGAGCAGCTGAAGGGCTGCCATAACCGCATGACAACCACTGATCCACATAAGAATAATTTTAGCAAATAAGAATTATTTACATATTACCTCCGCGTCGAAATCAAGGAGAATTCCCCAGAAATCTGACCAGGACGAATAAATTTACAAAGATATTATGGTAAAAGAATTGTTATTTGAAGATGTTATATGTATTTTTGTTGATTCCAGCCCCAATCTGTGGAGATAAGATGAATCTTCAATTTATTGTTAATTAATTTGCCACATTTGTCATTTTGGCTCAAACAAAAGTGGTATCAGCTTTGTTCATTAATTCATCGCCTAAAAATCATCGGTAAAAATGTTTTACATCAAATTTTTCTACAACTTAATGTGCAATGTCCAATACTGAATCTGAAATTTCAATCGTACCCTTATTTTGTTGCTTCTCTCTCAGTCAACAAATTGTATTGCTTAAAGTTTTTTTCTTTAATTAATAAATGAATAAATAAGCAGTATTAAAGATAGAAAATCTGGGCCCTTTTCTCCGTTGAAGACCTTTTACTCCTAATATATCTCTCCCCTAATCTACCGATATCTGATTGATAACTGATCTAGTTCTCCGTTAAATACGTGCTGTGATGCGTAATTAAAATATAAATTAAAGTAATCTATCAGCATATGATGAAAACCATTTTTTTAAAACAACTATATGTTTCCGGAAGATTTTTGAAGAAAAAAACATTGTCGAAGAAACGAGAGGATGAATGACTCGGCTCAGCCTGGCAACAAGATCTTCTGTTCTTCTGACGCTTCTACGATATTTCTTGTTCTTCTTTCAGTAATCAGTCTTTTGGCATTTACTGGAAATTGCCTTATAATTTTAGCATTCATCAAGAATATTAACTTGAAGATCAGCCACAACTACCTCATTGTTAATATGGCGGTGTCTGATCTCATTTGCGTGCTGTTCAATTGGCCACTCTATGTGACAGAAGGGATGTTAAAACCTGGCGGAAATCTTATTACAGAACCTTTTCTCGCCTCATCATTTTGCAAGCTTGGGATTTATGTACGAGCCATGTCTTACGTGGTGTCTATTTTGAGCCTGGTCCTCATCGCCGTGGACAGATATATAGCAACTGCATTCCCGCCGAGAGCTTCGCGTATAACTGGAAAGATGCGGACAATTTTACTCACATCATGCTGGTGCCTTCCTGCAGCTTTCCTCGTCCCGTATTTGATTCATTCTGAAATTGTTCAAATTGACGAACATACGTTTTGTAGAAACATGATTGGGCCAAACAAACTGGAAATTTACAGCTTTTTAGGGTTTGTAGTGTTTTATTGTGTGCCCCTTGTTTTAATAATTGTTTTGTACTCTCGTATAGTAAAGTATCTACAAAGACGAAAAGAAAAACCTGGTGGTGAAATAAGAGGTGAAGGATCAAATAGACTCAGGATAAGGCAAAATCAAAACATCTTGAAAATCTTTGGGTCAATTGTTCTCGGATTCTTTGCATGCTGGACACCTCTTTATATTTACATGTTTCTAAAATCGCTATATCCATCTATACTTGAAAAGGACAAATGTCTTTTACTTAAACTTGTGGGTATACTCTATTACATATTTCCAGTGCTCAGTACCGCGATAAATCCATTTATTTTAATAACCTTTAGCTCAAGCTTTCGAACGGCTGTAAAGAGTGAGTGCTTTCGTTTTTTGTCATGGAAAAATCATTCCCGCCACTTTGCCCGTGTAAGAGTGGTTTCTCCGCAAGAACCAAGTATCCTGCTACTAGAATTTACAAACTTATCGAAAAAAATAACTTGAAAACTAATTAAAGCCCTTCGTTTATCGTAAATACAAATTGTGAATCTATAACTGTACTGCTCAGGTGCACAAAAACGTGTTTGCTGTTTTGCTGTCATGTTAAAAACAATAAAACTCAGTCTTTAGAATACATGCATGGTCTCATATCTTTAGTATACGACATCATATTGGAGACAGGGATGGCAGAATCACGTTAATGGAACCTTAAGCAGCGGACGTTCTTAATGTCACGAACTCCCACAAGAAGTCACTCGAGCCACTGTCTAATGTATACACTGTGCATGTCATTACGTCCGCGAAGTCAGGTTACCGGACGGGTGCTGGAACGCCACTTTTGAGAGGTAGAATGCATTAATTAATGTTTTATTATATTTTTATTTTACGATACAGTGGGACCTCGCTAATACGGTCACCAATGGGCCAAAAACAATTGGCCGTAATAAGGATGTGACCGTATTAACAAGGGTTTCTTTACAAGAAAATGTATGGTCGTTTTTGCCGTATGGCCAAAAAATGTGGCCGTAATAACGAGGTGACCGTATTACCGAGGTGGCCGTAAGGCGGGGTTCCACTGTATTTTTGGAAGTTGGTAGATTAAACCAGCTGGTTGCAAGAGTTCTTTGAATTCTTGCTCATGTCGGATTGTGAATCATGAAACAGTCAAAACTCAGATCTAATTCAAGAGGACTTCATCTTCTTGTCAGCGGGCATAGCTACAAATTTTCCAGAAGTAAGTACAGTTTTCCAAATCAACCCTAACCAGTCTTCCAAATGGATTTCACTCGGGTACATCAACCTTTCTGTTTTGGACGATAAAATAATCATCTCTATTGGTCTTAATTTCAATTTTAATTAAAACCAATTTTGTTACATTTTTTGAAAAATCCGTGTTCTTCAGGGAGTACTTTAGGCTTTTGCGTGTAAAATTAGGGAAAACAGCTCATTTTGCCGTTTGCGTACAAGTGCCTACGTACGCCCCTTCTCGCACATCGCTTGGGCGTTAACTTGATGACGCCAATGTAATGTGTGTATAATGACATATTAGCCAATCAGCACACCACACTCACTCTGATATTGTCAAGTTCCTGTTTTCTTTTTAGCTTTTTGAGTATTTGTTTTACTCTGCATTCTATATATCTTAGTGTGTTGTTTTATGTACTTAAGAAAATTTTAAGGTTGCTTTGAGATAATAACTATTTCGTCAACCAGGAAACAGTAATGAGTGTGTGTATGCCCTGTGCCTACAAGCTCTTGAGTAGTATTGTATGCTCTCTCTATTTAAATTAGTCTCAGCCTGAAGAAAAATATTTTCAAATTGAATACTGGCAGGAAGGTGCCTAAAATTTGAAAATAAAAATTGACAAAGTTGTAAACAGGCCTTTTTCCCAGAATTTGCGAATTTATTGACTTTCTAACGGATGCTAACCCTGCAAAGATGCATGAGTTTTAGGCCAGTTTCAGACGCTGTGATACTGCGGTGCCGAATTCAATTCATAGAATGAAATGCGACTTGAGCACAGCAGTTGCAGTTTAGCCTTGCTAACGGCGGTAACACGACCTGGTTTCAAACGTCGCCCTTTTGTTTTCCGCGACGGGTATTTTATTCGACTGAAATTCGACGTCTGAAATCAAGTCCTACTACAATTGCTCTAGAGTCATGCTAAAATCGAGCCAGCTTAGAACGGCAGTAGCCGACATTTGGAACAGCCAATATAATAGGCCATTTCCGAGTTCGACCGGGCCTCTGTATCTGAACGAGGTTAAGTGCTCATCCTTTGATATGGAAATGATTTTTCATTCTCATGCAAATAAAACTCATTTTTACATGAAAGGTTGAGCAATTGGCCTCGTTTTGAAAGTAAGGGTTTTTGGAACTCCGAAAATGGCCTAAATTGTTTTTATTCTGTGGTTGCATTAGTGACTCCACTGACTACTTTGTTTTTGGGTTGCATCTCACAGTTGAACGAAGGAAGCTCCTTCATTATAACTGACAACTCTCTTTCTTTGTTACTCCCTCTTCCTTCTTTGTCGTTTCTTTTAACACAAACTGCAAAAGTTAACACAAAATATTAGTGAGTCATTTTCATGATAGAATAGTTTGATAGCAACTTACGCCGGATTCCGTTTATTGTCCGGGACTTATTTGGTCCATGCAATCACCTCCTTACTCTCCTCTCAATTCTTCTCCCGCATCATCTTTCTCGTGAACAGTAGTAGCTAACAATGCATTTAAAATATGCAGAAATGTTCGCTTTGGTTGTCCACGAAAATTTGAAACTTGCAGAAATTTCCTATGAATAATGAGAGGCTCTCAAATGCAAACACACAATTTGCGACCAAATATTAGCGAATTATAGCCGTTATTTTACTGCCTTACAAGATATCAATAATCTTGAAACTCAGAGACAATTTAAAACGAAGGTTAATCTCAAGAATCTCAAATCAAAAGAAAAATCTATTAAGCAGTTTTCAAATTATTCGCTTACTACAAAATAAATAAATTATTTTTTCTAGCAATTGGCTAAAGCTCTTTTCATGATCTTACAAGCACGTTTCTAAAAGGATTGAAAATACTATGAGGTGAAATTGCATTTCAAAAGCGCTTCAATTCCTACAGATAATGGCCGAAAATCAAGATTGTCCAGTAATTACTCTAGTTCTAATCATAAAAACTTCGACCCAAAATATCTCGATAACCCTCTTGTAGATTTCGCTTCAACTTCACTAACATCAAGGCCACTTTTGGATGAAAAAGCTCATGAAAGATTTTGGAAGAACAGTTCCCAGTGCTGAGAAATAGGCAAAAGGTAATGGCGTCATTTCGTTGCTATGACAACTGCGATGTCATGGTAACCCTGATCTTTACCTAATACAGCTGTGGTGGTAACCTTTTCAATTCTTTGTTAATGTCCACGTAGTTTATGTTCAAACTTGGAGGTACTGACCCTGAAAAATCCTATCGAGCCACCTTAAACAACGACGATGGCGACAGCAACGAGAACGGCAAAAAGCAAAAAAGAACTGATCAAAAAAACAACTTTCAGTTAGCACTTGCATCACGGCTACGAAAGGAAACTGCATAATTTCACGTTTTGTGGAGGGGTGAACACAAGACAACGACCCTCTTTTTCGATTAATTTTCTGAACTTTGATACAGTCCTTTAGAATTCTACTCCACAAAAATTCATCAACATTTGACAAATTTAACGAGATGGAAGGGTGATAAAGTTTGAAGCAGAGCAAGCACACTTTCGTAGCCGTCGCTATCGTTGTTGCTTAAGCTCCCTAATATCCCCGGCGACGGAACCTTAAAAGCTATTAGGGGAGCCTGTATTAACAACTTACATTGTGTACAGAGGTAAATGTTTGTGGCCTTAATAGAGTTGTTAAAAGAAGAGTGAATGCATTATGCACCTGAAACATACAGGAGTGTCTGTCACCGAAATATGGCCTTTAAAAGGGGTTCGACTTTTTGTATTTTATATTTCATTTTTAACCAATTCTTCTATTTACATGAGTGACTTTAAGGTCTTAGAGGAGCTAACGATCATGGATTCAAAAACAGCAATGGCATTAGGAACAAGAGTCAGGGGCACCCAACGACGGTTTCCTCCTAAATACATTGAAAACACTTTTTAGGCTGTCCAGAGTACTTTTACAGCTCTAGAAAAAATGCACTCTAAGTGGCCCTATAAAATTTGTATCTATTCAGTCATCCTAGGTGAACTGGAGTCTTTAAGAAGTGGGCTTCAGGATTCATTATTCGAAAATTTTGGATACAATTTAACGTATTACGAATGTGAGAATTTTTCTGATTCCCCTCTCCATCACATTTTCGAATCCGAAAATTTTAGGTCCCCTTTTTCTACGAAAATAGCCTAGCCTGGGGAGTGAAATACGAAGCGCATTTATTAGCTACGCTTCGAAAATTGTACATGAATGGAACGGTCAATTAGAAATTTTTACCCGTCCTCAAGTAATTGAAAAATTCTACGTAATATCCGCTTAGTCCTAAAAGATATTTTACAGAAAGAAGCCGTCGGGTGCCCCTGAAGAGGGGCAATTTATGTTACCAAATTAACTTTAACTTTATCTTGATTAGACTGATGAATATACTGTTTTTAACCAGAAATGGTAATCGAGAATAAGCTTGTCATCTGCAATATTTATCCTTACCAAAAAACTGGAATGTTCCCATTTGACTGAAAAAACAAAGAAGACGGCAAACCCAGCCTTTCAACACATCTCTCACCTAAAACCAAAAAAACTAAAAACTGAAGATTTTTTAGTAGAAGTTTTACACCAACATATGTGCAAATTACTGTAACCAAGGTTCTTAAACCATGATTTCTTGTAATCAGAGCTTCAATTGTTCAACGGCCGATTAGCTCTAAGCCGGGAGTAAATTTTAAACCGGATTTCCGTACCATTGGTTCAAAATCATTTTTCCAGATAATTTCTCTATTCTTCTCAGAACATCCACTCATCAAATTGAGGACAAAAAGAATAACTGAATTTGCTTTAAGCTTTTATATCTAAATTCAACCTAGCCCTGATTACATGGTGATGATGTAATGAGTCACAACCTAGCTAGTTTAAGAAAATTTGAGCTATAATTTTGTTTTATATTCTTTATCTGCTTCAAAATTCCTGTGCATGATTGTTTAATTGTACTTAAATAATGATTGGTTTCCTGGCATCTGTAATAGGATGCCGGGTGCTTCGCCTAGCCCGGTTACCCTGGTACGAGGGCTAAATCATTGCCCGCCCTGAAGTGTAACTCTACTAAGCGGTATGGCCAGCAGAGTGGCGAGGAAATAAGTTAAGTTGGCAGACAGAAAAAATACGTTCACGTCAGACTAGTTCATGAGCCTTTTGACCTAATTGCGATTGACCCACTACAGTGACGTCTCCAGATTCACAAACTTTCTGTTCCACAGGTATCACTGATTTGTTGGGAACTACTCGGAATCAAAGAGCCCTGCATGACAATACCGTTTACATGACAAAAAGATAACCTCTTTGAATGGTACCGCTGGCTGGCGGGTTTTCTTATCTAGCGTGTTAATCATCTTCAACGCGTTGTCTTAATTGAAAGGCTGGCTTCACGGGGAACCTCACTTAACTGGGCAGCCCTCCCTACCTCCAAGTAAATACAGTGTCAACGTGACCCAAGACTTTTTAAAAATCAACTTTGTGGGTGTTTAACAAGTACCTTCGGCGTTGAAAACGTGTATAGAACAGGATTAACAGAGGAGTTGATTGGCAGAACAAGAACAGCAAACCACACATAAACCGTCCCGTCAGGATCTTTGAATTTACCAAAGAGAGCAAGAATGCTCAGGATTACTACAGGGACCCAGCAACTGAAGTCAGTTAAGATGATGGCGAACACTCGCCGTGCGAGCGTCGACTCTCTGTTGAGGCTGGTATTGGATTCTCCGTTGGACGTGATTCTCCGTTGTGATTTAAAGACCGTGAGTATAATGAAAATGTAAGCTGCCAGGATGAAAAGGAAAGCTGCGAGATTCAGAACGATGAATATGGCAACTGAATATTCCCAGCCTGCAAGTCGTTCTGAGGACAGTTGGAGAGGAAGACAAACCGACGAACGACCTGTATGGGACAAAAGTTATTAGATTGAGATTAAAATGCTTACTTTGCACCAGACTTGATGAGAATTAATAGAAAGTTTTTAATCGTTAAAACATTTAAATGACAGTCGGAAAAATTAAAGCCCAGCTCCACTTAATCCTAATAAGGTTACAATGTAGGTTTTGGACCGATGGTGGCACAAGAATACCCTGTTTACTGTTTTAGGAGAGCCATAGATTCAACGGATTTGGAGGTCTGGGGTTCAAGCCGTGCCCTTCACGTTGTTCCCTTAGACAAGTAACTTTACTCCACTTTGTCTCTCTTCACCCAGGTGAATAAATGGGTACCGGCGACATACTGCTGGGGGGTAACCCTGCGATGGACTAGCATCCCGTCCAGGGAGGAGTAGCAATACTCTTAGGTGCTTCATGCTAATGAAACCGCGATAAGCTCCGGCCGTTTGGGCCTTTGGCTCGTGTGCGCCTTTACCTTTTTATAGATTCAAAGGATTAATAACGATGAGAAATCACCAATAAAATGAATTTTCCTTACACAGCACCTTTTTTTGGGTCAATAATTTGTCTTGAGTTCACCATATGTAAGGGAAACCCGATTCGGGAAAATTGTTGTTCGTGGAAAGCAGAATGTGTGAAATTTTTGCTAGTGGAATCCGGAATCCTGGGCTTTGGAATCCGGAATACAGCTCAAGTAATTCGGAATCCAACTAATGATTGGAGTCTAGAATCCAAGTTCTACTTACAAAGACTAAAATCCAGCACCTGGAATCCAGAATCCATGGCATGGAATCCAGAATCCAAGACTGTTTTGGATTCTCTTACATGGGCGAATGAGTGATTGACGTTTCCAGGAGAAGGCTGTTTACCCTTTTTTATTTCCTGAATTTGTTTACAGGAAACTCATCTCTTTATTAACAGGCATGTATACATTATTCCTTGCCGATGTCACTGTGACTGTGCAGACTCATAATTTAAAATGGCGGATTTTTTTTCCTGTGCCGTTAATGTCCTAGAGTGTTCGTCTTAACACTTCAGCCACCCAAACGTCAATAACATTGCCAGTGATAATTACAGCGGTTCAGTATAGCACCTGGCTCCACCCTCCCACTCTCATGTGGAAATAGGCAGGAGGCCCTCCTAAATAAAAACTTTTTCAGGAATATATAGTTATGGGATTTGATTGACAGCGACAATAAAATTAGATTTAACAGCCCAGGCTACTAAATATTGTAGTGTTCATATTTTTTCTCATGACGGATGACCTCATCACACTGCGCACGTCTTAAGTGATACCAGAAGCCGATTACCCAATGATACGTTATCACTGTCAATCTGTTAGTCTGTCAAAACGATTTCAGTTGTACGAGAGCTCTGCATGTAAGAAGGGACACTTTGTCACTTTGCCAGACAAAGTCGAGCAAGGTATGGTTAATACCAGGTTCTGCATTGTTATTTTGTTTAGTTTTAGTAATCATTATTATTATAAGGTGACTATTTTTCAAGGTAGTGAGTAGAATTGAGAAGTTTGTCTTATTCAATGCTCCTGCTTACCTCAGTGGAGCCCCAGTAGTCTGTTATAGAGCAGTTATCGTGAAAAGTTTGAAATAGCCCCCCGTCTTCCTTCATGAAATAATAACAACCGAGGAGGATCACACAATAGTAATAATAATAATAATAATAATAATAATAATAAATAATAATGATGACGATAATAGTGCTCTCGAAATAATACTATTCTTGTTTCACGATAAAATGATTTTGATTTTGATTGACATCTTTCTGCGCATGCGCTTTGTATTGTTGTTAACTTAGTATGGATAAAGAAAATATTACGTTCCATAATACCCATATTCTCTGTCCTTATTGCAGAAGTATGGAAAGTCAAACATAGGCACAATGGCGATAGCAACTCCGAATATCCAAACCGCAGAACATATGCGGTAGGCTCCTCGCAAGGTCAACCGAGAAATCTTTAGTGCAAAGACGATACTGATCAGGCGCTCGGCGGTGATAACAGTTAACATCAAAACAGATACCTCACTTGATAACACTGACAAGGCACCAGCAAATCTGCATAACTCTCCTGATCGCCATTTTCGATCGTAGCTGAAGTAATTACCTAGTAAAAGCTATTATTTTGTCAATACTAAGTCATGAGTTATATAAGCGCGTTTCACAGACGCACAAAACGACTGGCGCGTCATTGTGTTCTTAAACATAGTGAGTGAGCCAAAAAGAGCTAGTGGTATTGGTGCTGGATAATAATAAAGAAATACACAGTGTATGATGGTGGAAAACGCAGTATTCCTCACTTCGTTTATAATTGTCTATAAGGAGTTGTGCGTTCAGCACATGATAGTGAAACAACAGTTTGCTTATGAACAAGTTAAATTCTGTGATAAAAATACCGCGGTATTGTTAGCTTTAAAATCACTTAAAAATTAACACGGTGCTCGTTCTGATTTTGGAGAAGAGCATTGAATAAATTAAATAGATAAATATATAAATATACAAATAATTAAATAAACAAATAAGTAAATAAATAAATTATAACGATTTATAGGTAGCTCATCCGCTTAGGGTTTTTCGTCTACCTGATTCCAGGTCGAATTAGCAGTTTAGGGCGCACTGATTAGGCCTGTTTTTTGAAGTGAAATCTCATCAGTTGGAAGTGGAGTACATTAACATCGATCATAGCCTTTTATCTTTATCTCATGCACAAAATGTGCAGAAATATTTTTCTAATACAATTGAAGTTTTGGTTTGCATGCACTGATTCTTGGCGACCAAAATCGTGCATATTTAATGAGGGCAGAGGCCAACTAGCTCTTTCTAGCACCAAAAATATTCCTGCGCATTTTATTCGTGAGAGAAAGACAAAAGGCTATGACGTTATCGGTGTTAATGTATTCTACTTCAAACTAATGATATTCCACTTCAAAAAAGATGCTTAACCGGTGCGCTCTATGATACTCGAATTGGAATTTGGTAATGTTTGATTTTGAGGAGAGTAGAAAACCGGGGTACACAGAGATAAACCTTTCGCTGCAAAAGATAGGACCTTCAACAAACTCAACACACATATGGCGTCGACGCCCGGATTTGAACCCGGGGAAAAGATACATGTTAAGGAATGGAAAGAGACTAACCTGAAAGTATTTGGTCTTGAATGGAAATAATCATAAGATAAACTCCCATGAGGAAGTCAGACAATGCAAGATTTGTCAGAAGGCAACTTTGAACTGGGTGGTCTTCCCGCCGAATCATTCGCCAGGCGATCACCGCCAGATTACCAAGCACAGCAAGAAGACCGAGCAGCCATATGCTGATTCTGAGGCTCTGGTGATGAATCATGCGATTGCAGCCAGAGAAGGCATCTTTTGCTTCTTTAGGAAATTGACATGCTACTTCTTTAAGGCTAACATTGACGTAGCAACATAAAGAGAAGGTGTCCATTTTTCTGTATTTTTTAAATAAATAATGTCATTAGAGTTTCGTGAAGTAGTTTGGAGCAAGAGAGACTAATGGGTCGTACAGGGAATCTTAGGGCCTTGACCGGGATACGTGAATTTCACTTAAGCTCTATTTAAAGGTTGTAATTCAACGGAATTCTAGTTCCTGGGACGTTCTCACATCTTAATTGACTGTTTGAAACGCCATCAAGTCCACTTGCGACTGCCTCAAAGCAAACAATGCAGAATAATCATTGTAACGGAGACACACCAAGAAAGAATAATGTCCCAATGTTCTCCCTTGAAACCACTTTATAAATGTTTGTGGACCTCTCCAGAAACCAAGTTTCGATGAATTTCAGCACTCTGTTCTCTGAATTGTAATGCTCGTGTTGAGAATACTTTGCCGTTACTAAGCAATCTAAAATTGTAAAATTTTTGGGAATGTTGTTGTATACAGAACTATTTCCTCTGTTTGCGCAGATTTCAAAGTTGATATGGGGGTGATAAAGTAAAAAGGGACTACACGTCGCACCGAGAGAAAAATAAATGGGTCACAAGACTTACACGTTTTGGAGGTTGAAGAGACCCTTGAAGATACTATGTGGAAGCTCTCTCAGCGAATTGTTCTGCAGATAACTGTGAAAAAGCAAATCAGGGAGTAAGCGACAGTTTCTATTTTAACAGTACTACAGACAGCCAAAAGTTGAAGGAAGCGATTTAATAAGAAGATAATCAGTAAAGCTACACCTTTTTATCCTCTTAGAAGTGTGTTTTAGATGTTATAGACGCAACGAATGCACAAGGTAATTCAGGTACATATCTTTCAGTTTAAAAATTCCCATGCGGCGGTTTTCATTTGAAATCCCTTCCAACGGTTCACACAGGTTCATTGCGGGATTGTACTGAAGGCTCACATACAGTGTGGGTAGCCTTCGCCACAGACGAAACTAAACCGTTGGCTACTAACTTGAGTTGAATTACGTCTCGACGCAGGGTAGACCTGGGTTGCCTGTTATAGCAGTAGGTTGTTACTTTATAGCAGAGGTAATGGCGAATTTGGAGAAAGTTTGAGAAAACCTTGGGTATTTTAAGAGGACTTCATGAGTTAGTTGTTGTTAATTCTCAAGGGAAACTGTAAATAGTAGTATTATGACCATTTCTCTCCTTCAAACGACCATAATAAACTTAGGAAACAAATATAATTTGAAACGTTTTTTTTTATGGCCTTCACTCGTTTTTCTACACTCCTCGTATCCTCCCGGCTTTTTTTTTCGGCTGACAACTCTAACTGCACCGAACGAAGTCTCATGAAAGTCTCAAAAGCGTAAGACAATTCAATTTTTATCTTAACATTTATCAATTTAACGTTAATCTGCTATAGTATTGAAGGTTTCCTTTCAGTAGAAAGCATTTTAACCATAAAACAGTTATTTAACAGTACTCTGCTAACCATGGAAGAACCACGGGTATTCTAAAATTGACTTGGCCGGTAAATTTAGTCGTTAAAGGTAACCGAAGTATACTAAGGCGTCTAAGATAATTTTAGAAAAATCCTTGTACTTATTCCCGAACTAATGGTTAAGTTACATAGTGGTCAGATTCGTCAGGCCGTTGAAAATGAACCAAGGTAATCCCACAAGATGGTTGTTGGACAAATCACTGAAAAAATATTTGCATGGTAACATGTTTTTTAAGTACTGCAACGTACGCAGAGCTCTTACACGTATGTACTGCTTAACACAGAGCACTGAACTTGGGATCACGGGGTGATGATGAAAAAGGATAAACATAGTCGAAAATATCTTTAAATATTAAAACTACCTTACTGCTGCGTGTTATCCAGCGATACCCTTCAACTTAACAACACACGAATAATCAAGGCCGCGCAGGGGCAACCTTGTCCTTAGGGCGACAGGGGTAGGAAACAGCTTGGGACGAGGTTGGCGCAGGGAGGCTCTCGCCACACCTATGTTTTTGAATGTGTAAAACACATTTGTTTTTATTTAGATATCCGTAATCCATGGTGCCCTTGGTTCGACCTTAAAATATCTAAGAGGTCCGGAAACATTTATCCGTTCAAGAGTTGTGGTGCATTGTCTCGGCCTTGCCCCGCTTAATCAATGGAAAGTCATAGAAATATAGTTTTAAGTGAATCAGTATTTGGTCTTTTTAGTTCCTTTCCAAAAACTGAGCAGAATAGAAAAATCTTACACTTAAAGGAGACATGTAATAGAACATCGCTTATTCCAAGTAAATGGGACCGACAAATTTCCCTGAGATCGCAAATTGGAAGCTTCGTGTCAGTCGCTAGAAATAATGAGAGACATTTAGTAAGGATTTGAAACTGTAAAGAGTTTCAAAAGTAGGTCGAGTTTGATCGTCCGGGTGAACGTAGTCCTGAATAGCACTATTTTTGTTGACGGTGACTGACGTTCCGACAACCTGCTGCGCAGTAGTCATCTCCAGAGTTAAAGTTAGTTGTATCAAGTCAGTAAATCGCGTCCGTTGATGGTATTATACTCTGGTTATTGACTTGATTGGTTAATTGCGTCGCGATGTTACTGGTCGATAATAACGATTGATGGATCATCAATTCAGATTTTAAAAAGGTTTTTGCCATGTAGTTATTTCATAATTTGCATTTGTATCAAGAGGATAATAAATGTAGATGAATTTCTAGCCACTTTAGAATTCCCAAATATCAAAATTTCCGGGATGGCATGCGGGACACCCACAGTGTGTTTTTGAGCCCTCGTTGATAACATTGCCCTGTGGGTCCTGATAATGCGACCTAGAGATAGAAATATAGTGAACGATAGACAGACAGCCGGGAAAGGTTAATGTTACGCGCTTATATTCCTTATGCACGGAGGAACTTTAAGGGGTGTTTACATGAGAAAACTCGCATGGGCGCGAGTTTCGTACCGTGATGACTTTTTGATTTCGTAACGCGCTTACATGATGGTGGGTCATTTCATATCTCGGTTATTTGAAGGTACACTTCACGTTGATGAAATACACATGCGATTCAAAATGGCAGACGTTACACATATATGCACTACCCGTTCCAGTCCACCGGCAGACCGATTTCACACCGAAACGGGTGGTCGTTTCGCATTTACATGATACCGTTGCGAGATTTCGTACTGGAGTGAAATTCTCGCTCGACCCAGTGCAACAACCGGGGTGAACTCACGCCGGGGTGAATCGCACCCGAATGACATTTTGTGGTGGTATCATGTTACGAAATGTAGAGCCATGATAGGAAACCGTAGTGAACTCGCCCCGGCGAGAACGTCGCCCAGGTGTCATGTAAACACTCCACTCTCCCGTATTGCGCTACTCTCCACTCTCTGAAAGCCTGGAACAGGCCAATGACGCAAATGACTTGCTCATTCTGACTTGTTCAGAAGAAATGAATAGAAACCGATTATTGCATACTTACAGAATGACAAGACTGCCAAGCCTATGAAAAGAACGCGGTTTGATTTTTCCTTCTAGTTGATTGTTGGAGAGATTTCTGCAAAATGTACAATGATAGGCTCTGATAAACGGCTCTTAGAAATGACAGAAAGGGCTAAAATGGTTTGATAGGGTTTTTGTAGCCCAAATATTAGTTCCTCAGTAGGCTAAATCAGATATTAGGTCAGGAAAAGCAAACATTATGATGAGAAGATGGAATCATAATGTCATTTTATATCTAGGGATTTCCAGCAGTTTCTTCTCAATCAGTGTTTAGTTCAGGCGGTGGTTCCCTATTACCATCAGCCAATCAGGAGAAATCCACTACCTCCCCAATTTGTTTAGTTCTGTTTGTGGTAAAAATTTGACTTTTTGTTATATGTTTTATTGGTTTCTATTAAAAACGTCTTTAATAAACTGTGGGTTCTTTGGTCCTTTAAAATATAAGTTCGGTTTGGGAAGACTTTTGGTTCTTGTATTTTGTATCCAAGTTCCATGAAGACGATAATTACTGCAGTCTGTACTTTATATAAACTTGTTCTTGTTGTTCGGATTAATTAACTTTAATTTATTTCTGTTCAGTTTTTGGAAAGGAACTAAAAAGACGAAACATTTATTCACGTAAATACTATGTTACTATGATTTTCTTCAAAGTTACACTCCATGGCTAATTTGTTCATCATAATTTAATTGCAACCTACATAATTTCTGCTTGATCTTATTTGGCTAAACAAATTCCTGTATTTTTGGGTATTAAACTGGCAAATTTCTTTTAGGGTTTCGTAATCCACAGGTGCTTATATGCGGGTGTTTACTGTACATCTCAACTAAACAAAAGGCTGTTCTTAAGGGAAAATATTCATCATATGAAATATTATCTTAAAAATACAACAAAACGTCAAAAAATGATTTTGAGATGAAAATTATCAATCTCATATTTTTATGATTTCGGGAAAGAGTTCAATAATATCTTGCCCTTACAAATATTCAGTGTCCCATGGTAAGTCTCGTGGAATTTCTGTCAATCCCCTGCTACTGCAGTCAACCATTTTCCAAAATGGAGCTGTGCTACTTATGGAGCAGTTGCATACTTCCGGACAATCTGTAAATCAAATTTGAGTGGCTTAGGAGATAAAGAGTTGTTTGAAACAGAAAACCTGAGCGTGGAAAGTAGATATGATGTTCTGAGGGATTTCTAGACAGCTAGATCCTTAGATTTCTTGTACTTGTACCTCGTTGGTTTTTAAATTATATTTCGAAAGGAGAAACAGAATGATGAAATTAAGGTCGACCCATGCAGATGGCAATTTGGTTCATAAGTGAACGTTTCGACGTTTAGAGTTGGCCTTTGGCATCGCAATTAGTAGCAATTTTTAACAGATGGGGACTGTTCAATAAATGGACAAATATTTCGCACGTCACCATGTTTGCAATACACCAGTAATGACAAGGAAATAGACAACTATAAGGCGACATTCAAGTGGAAATAATGTCACATATATTCCAATTGCATCTCTAATCTTACATGTAATACTTTTA